TTAATAATTTTAGGTATATCTGAAAATAAACCAGAAAATGTGCAAGTTTGAAGCAGAGAGATTCGAAGTTGTACTGCTATAGGGATCTCAGTGATGACGTTAAGGTAGGTCTGTCAGTATCCATCTATCTATCTATCTATCTATCTAACGTAGTCTGTGCACATCTATCTATCTATCTATTTAACGTAGTCTGTGCACATCTATCTATCTATCTATCTATCTATCTATCTATTTAACGTAGTCTGTGCACATCTATCTATAGGTATCTATTCATATCTGTATATTTATGTATCTATCTATTTATATATCTATATATTTATTTTGTCTAGTTATTTATTTATTTATTCTGGTTATTTATCAATTTATTTATTTATCTATATATCTCAGTTTCCTCACATCTCTATTTATCTATCTCAGTTTGCTCATATCTACCCAAGTCTGCTCACATCTATTTCAGTCTTTTCACATCTATCTCCATGTATCTATATATCTATCTATTCACTTATCTCAGTCTATTCACATCGATCTACATGCATCTACCTCAGTCGTTTCATATCTATCTAGCTATTTGCATCTATATATTTACATATATCTATCTGTTCACATCTATCTAAATCTGTTCACATTTATCGATATGTTTATATCTTTCTATATCTAGCTACTTTTGTTCTCTGCTATACTCTACTCTCTTAATTTAATTTTAAACATAAATATTATTTTAAAGAAAAAACAAAAGATTAGTTGCCTAAGCTTTAAGCTGATAGTTTGATATTCTATCAGTTTTGCACTTCAAGTCAATTACTCATACGCCAAATTGCGCTAACGTTTGGGACCTGAATATATTCCACAATTGGTGAAATGGCTTGTTGGTTACAGCAACTGGAGAAGAGAAGTAAAATTTCGACTCGTTTATGTGTTACTAATTCGACAGGAACTAGTATTGTTCGCCTTCAACAACAGGTGACAGGAAGCGTAAGGCGTAAAATTGAGCAAGTGCATCACAAGTCTTTAAATATCCCAGCTAATAAAGTTAGATTAGGCAAAGGTGGTAAAGTATAATGCTAATAAAATGCTGTTTTAACAGTGGCAGGGCCTTGCTTACAGAATCAGACATAACGAATTTTTCGAGTCTCATTGACAGCTAGATGTTCGATTTATAATCTTATTGAAATGTGAAACTGAAGCGTAGCCTACTTTGGTGATGCGACGGTTTCGTATGGCCTCCCGGCTTCATTGGTCGATTTTTAAGCGTAGGTAAACAAAGTCTGAAATTTCGAAAGCATGATTTTCTGACAGGTATATCTTCGCAAACATCCTACTAAAATGTCTCCCTATTTGCTTTTGTAATATAAGAATCTAAACTTCTTATCAAGAAACCGAAATGAATCATTAAATTAATGCCATCCAATTTAAGTAAATTTCACTTAACTACAAATTATCAAACATTATAAACGTTTTCTTTCGTAGTACAAGACGTTTTATGGGCGCGTGGTTCGAACGTTCGCTTTCTGACCATGAGGCCCGTGTTCAAATCTCACCATATTTGACAGAAAATAGACTTTTTTTTATGTTATCGGTCTGGTGGGAAAAGTGCCTGAAAACCATACCACGGGTTGACCCAAGCCTTGCGAATAAAACTGGGTAGACGAAACCCTTGTGCTAGCACGAAGTCACAAGTCATTGTGACCGAGGGATTGAGTGTGCTGGTTTTGTTTAGATTACTGATGATTCAGATTACTTATGATGCTAGATAACACGCTCTCTCCCAGAAACTGTAACTAAGGTCTGCTCAGCATAGTTGCAGTATAAACCATAGATTGGTTCTGTGGGTGTTGAACAAACACGAGCGTCTGCAATAAGGATAGGCTAGCCGCCCTAACAGACGGGTATACTCGAATACAAGTGGCCAGGAATTACGTTTTACTAAATATTTTTTTTTCTTTTACAATCGATTATAGATCAGAAAAATGCGTCTCTGAAATACGAAGGCGTATTACCAAACAGAAAGTTTCTATCTAATATCATTCCTCTTATAGGGCAGAGAATGCTAGGCAATTTCCTCATAGATGAAGAGAAAATGTTCTTCTTTGATGAACCGTGTCCCTTCAGAACGTAGGCTATCATGGCCCTCCACATCTTCCTGTCCCTTGTAGCTCTTAATATGTTTTGTCTTTTTGTTATTTCTCCCTGTTCTACGCAAGCTCATCAAGTATGTTACGCGCTGTTTTCTTCTGTCCCTCTTTTCCTCAATCTGTCCTGTGAGTATCAGGTTTTCCAAGCCCTCCTTCCTCATTACGTGCCCCAGAAATTTCAACTGCTTATTCATAATTTTAAGTATAAATTTCCTTTCTGTTTCCATTTTCTCCCCAAACCTCGTTGCTGCTCACGTATTCGATGCAAGATATCCTCAGCATCTTTATATAGAACGATATTTCTGTTGCTTCAAGTCTCTTCTTCAAATCTGAGGTGATTGTCTAGCATTAGTTGTCATACAAGAGGATATATATCACGTAACATTGCCGCACTCTTTTCTTTGTTTCTAACGACATTTTTCTGTCTCTTAATATTCTGCTTAGCTTTCGAAATGCATCTTTCTAGTCGTATTTTCTTAACATTTGAGCAAAGATGAAGAGGATACTTATCGTAAAAGGAATGTGGTTCTACATAAGGATGTTGAGAATACCATATACGGAGCGAGGAAAAAACGTAGAATCTTTAAGGAAACTGTAGAAAAAAAGGACAACTATAATTATAATCGGAAAGAGGCCGTTGAAATTTCTTGGAATCATGGTTAAGTATAAAGTCTTGGAGAATGTGACCCTCACAGAACATCCTGAAAGCAATACGGAGATAGGCAACCAGAAATTAATGTACCTAACCAGCTTGTGCAAACGGATGACAGAAAAGGAAGTGTGGAAAGATAGAAACATACTGCTAAGAGATAAAAATGACAGGAAGTTGTGGAGTGCCATGATAACCCATTTCCTGAAGGCATA